GTCGTAACACTCGTTTCTTGTCAAGGTATCTGCAGGCTGTTCGCATCGAACTTATCTTTCAATGAGTTTTGTCAAGTGATAACCTGTATTGCGAAAATCCTTACACAATATGAGAGCGACCGTCAGGAGTGGATTCTCGCGTATAGCTGTCTTACGTGTCTTCTCAGGGACACAGATTTGATAAACTTATACGGACTAATGTGTCTGGACTACATACTTTCCGGAATGGAGATTAGTGAAAGAGAAGCCGACTCGAACAGGGAATGTGGTCTAGAATGCAGTCCGAAATTTATGAATGATACCTTAAACGCTGTGTGCTCCTTCATGTATCTTGAAGGCGAGGTTTCTGTATTTTGGCGAGCCTTGACATTCAGATCAAACCTCGCGACAACCAAGGTTGCAGTCATGGAAAACGCGGTCATGGAAAACGCGGTCATGGAAGAGGCCGTCATGGAAAACGCGGTCATGGAAAACGCGGTCATGGAAGACGCAGTTATGGTAGACGCAGTTATGGTAGACGCAGTTATGGAAGCGGTAACCAAGGGATCCACATCGTCTATGCCTACAAACCTTCCCGTACCGACAATTTCGGCGAGCCATCGTCTAATATTCTTACAATGGTTAACTCTTAGTATTCAAGACAATTTGTTGTACAACCGCAAACTGGATGAGACACATTGTATTTTGCGACACTTACTGGAAAGAGGAGGCCTACTAACGCCAAAGACAATCTTAGGCTTGATTAAGATTCTCGTGGAAAATTATGAGCCATGTCAGGAGGTAGTTGATACACTTCTTTTATTGTTGCGGTCTATTAATGAGGAAGACATCGCAGCCCAAAAAGAAGTATTGGCGACCTTTAAACGAGCGGGCCAGTCTTTCAAAACCATTTTGTTCGACTTCCTGAAACTCGACACGGAAGCCGTCAAGAAATTGGTCACCGATCCCGGGACTTGCTCTGCTTGCTGCGATCGCTTCATACTCTTATCACAACTAATCGGAAAGTCGCTAACTGGGCCACTAGGCTCCGAGACAACCGTAACCTTGACACGGGAGGATATTGAGGCTCATTGCATGACATGGAGTTGTCAAACATTGAGGGAATTGATCCAGCGCAAGACTCACTTGGATTTTGTCCACCCAAATGCATCCGGAAAAAACGTGTGCACACATAATTGTTACATTCAGAATGAGATGTACAAGACCATAGAATCTCCCTGTACTGAAAAAGAGTTAAGATCTGCGGCTGTATTTGGAATATTGGACCAGTACGTTGAACGCGCCGAACATGACAACCACCGGGGATCCACTGAATCATTGATTAAGCCGCCTGAAGATATAGAAACTGCGCTGCGGCGCGAGCTTGATGAATTCCTAACGGATCTGTAGGCTAAGGAGTCCTTGAATCACATCACAGGGCCATCACGAGGGAGTGAACTCCGTGTTTCCATTTAAAGCGTGACTTTGAAAGCGAGATTGGTTTTGCAGACGCAATGGGATAAGGAGACACAAGAGATTTTGAAGACGAGGAGCTTGTTAAGTAGGGTTACGATTTCAGAGTTCGACGTCGGTGTATCTTGGCTAAGAGGGTTTTCTAAGAGGCCTGATATGCAGCCGTTGCTCTGATCGAATACGAGGCCAAGTGCTGTGGGGAGAGGGGGGCTGATGGTCCACCTGACAACGGAGGTGTCCATGCCGCTGACCACAGGTATGAGGCGAACGTATTGGCCCAGACGAAGTACACTGTCCGATTCCATGAATCCCTCATACTGAATATGGACCGGCACGGCATCGAGCATGACATGTTTCTTGTCGAGGTAGGCTGACCGATTGCGTTCCCAGAGGGCTTCCTGTCTTTTCTGTTCCAGAAGTACCTCGTCCACGTTTTCTCCAAGTATATCAATCAGCTTAGACCTGAGCTGCGCGTCCATTACATTTTTAGATTTTTGAGGAGACCCTTGTAACGACAGAGCTCCAGCAACGGCCGCCGCACTCTGTAAGGTAGACGTACCGCCCGATACGGTCGCGAAACTTTCCTTAGCGATGGCAATAAACCCGAAGAGAATCAAGAGGAGGATGACGACCATGGCAACCGATTGTGCTTCATCAGCATGCGTTATTTTAAGTGATTGTACGAGATATTCCGGCAAGTAGTTTTCGAATATGGCTTCGAACCCACTTGAAACTTCTTGCGCATCTAAAAACAGATCTCGATTTATATCGAGCGCTGCAAACATTCTTCTTTGGATATAGCTAGGCATTTTTATTTTCATGTATCTAATTGCGTGATCCAGCGCTTGATAATTCATCTTCCGTCCTTGTAACGCTGTTAGCACCTGTATAACCCCGCTAAATTTCATTAGACCATGTTCATTAATATCCCATTTATTCCAGTCTTTGATTATCGGATCCAAATTCAGATCGCTGCCTATCCTCATTCTTATGAAGCATCGTAGGGATTCCGGCCACAGACCATCATATAGGATGTTTGGCAAACACATTTGTAGTCTTGATATGTTTACAACCTTACCCTTATATGGATCATTGCCAGTTAAATCACGATCTAGAGTCCAGTGGTGATGCCCGATGGTCATAAACCCTTTGGGTAAGTCATTCCAGATACCAGATTCGTCTTCAATTGATATATTCAGCTCGCTTAATAATTGTCTAAACATCCATTGAGTTAGACAACCTTTAAAATCCACAATATCGTCACCGGAATACACTGGGACAAAATACATGTCAATTAGACACTTAGCATATGCTCCAACACTTTTTGAACGAGCTGATCGATCTACTCCAGATCTTGTGTCGTCGATTGAACTCATAGAATCTTTAAAGTTGACGCCGCGATGCTGATCGACCTGGACACCGCTGCTACGTTTCAAGCCACCGCTAGCACGTGGCAAACTGATATTGCGTTGTAAATTATTGCTAGGTTGTAAACTACTTCTAGAACTGCGTAAACTATTACTAAAAGCCGCTCCTGATTGCTCGAAATTTCCGCAGCTACGTTGCTCCGTTTCAGGGCCGTCATCGGTAATGCCGGTGCCCCCTACAGTGGTACCAGTTAGGATGTTTTGTGCGATGATGGATCGCATCAAACGGGACATTTGCGGGCTGATGGATAGCCGTAGTTGATTGGCAAGTAATTCATGACTAATAATGACATGGGTGTGATCTATATAGCGTTGAACACAACTGAGTAGTTTCGCCTTTGAAAGGAACCCGCCAATTTCAGATACGGTGTTAAAATGGTAAAGAAGATCGTCCGTTTCGTCAGCACCATCATACAGATAAAGTGTCCAATCGAACACGGTTTCTTGCTCGCTATATTCCGAGACTTGTATATCCATATCGCTCGAGATGACGTTATGATTATTTCGAGTGGGATCCAGAAGACCCATCTCAGCCACGCAGGCGATGCCTCCAGCTAAAGACACCTGGTTTTCTGTCAACAATAGAACCGCTTCATCGGCTAACTCTGATGGCAAGAAGTAACAGTTAGAGCTAAGTCGGTTGAATATAAGCTGAGTGTACTTCGAATTTAGCAGCTCTATTTTGTCCTCCTCTTCCTTCTCCAAGGCCTCACGGATAGCACATGGAAGCAAATACTGACCATCTGTGACACCTAAAAGTCGTAATAACAAGGAAAATGAATCTAGCCATAAATACTCTGAAAACAAGATATCCAGTATCATGTCAATGTCAACCAACGTAAATGATTCAGCATACGCCGCAGTGCCTTTTTGCTCAAGCATGGAGGTGTTTAGTAGAAGCTTAGATAGAAACGTAACAGCCGAATTACTGGCAGGATATATACCCCTTATCGTCCTTGTTTTAACACTAATCTGAAGCAGATCAAAGCTAGAGTCGAGTTGTACGAGAACGTTAGTGGGCAAACCCGGAGAGATATCCTTGGACTGGAACTGCCATTTTTTTAGCAGACCCAGTTCATTTAAAACCAACGTGAAAAGCATAATACGATACTCCATTCGACAAGAATCCACTACTCTCGGGTAGTTCTCGCACCAAGCTGTGATCTCGTTGTACTTCTCACCCTTGACACTGTTCCATCGTTGGTGCGCATGGTAGGCTGTCTTGGGACACCCCTGAAGAGCGTTGATCGTCTGGGAATGTAGGCCATGATGCACGATGGGATAGGACCGCTGCAACACAGTTTTCGTCTTAAGCTGGATCTTCTGCGTAATAATCTCGTCAAAAAAATTCGTAATCTCCGCCTGCACATATTCGTGGCTCTTTATCACATTTATATACTGCCGGATCTTCGTGTCCACATCTCCAATCGAACGCGCATAAGCACCCTTCAACGCGTCTAATAAAACCGGACCTACACCACGCGCTCGATCTCCACGTCTGCGCCGGCCCCTCGCCCTCACACTCCCACTGCTCTCATCACTACCACTGCTCTCATCACTCTCACTGCTCTCATCACTCTCACTGCTCCCATGACTCCAGGCATTCATGCTCACATCACGCCTACCCTCGCCATCCCTGTCCTGATCCTTTTGGGGATAAAGGTTCGAAACCCGGGGTGTATAAATCGAGGAATCTCTCGGCGGTACGAGACTGTTTTCGGCGACCAGTTGTTCGAGAGTTAAGCACTCAAGAGGGTGCACGAATTCGCGTTGCAATTGAGCGAGCGTTTCGCCCAGCAAACGTGTGTCTGCGACGAACGCGGCGCAGGCTGGCGAACATGGCGCACCCGAGGCGATGGCCATGGTGTTGAACAATACTTTCAACTCAGCCTTGTTCAACGTTTCCGGGAACTCCGCCTGTTTGAGTATTACGTCTTCGTCCGCCGCCCCCCATTGCGCCTCCTCTTCCGCCGAACGTTCCCACAGCCCCTCGCCCATCTGCGCATCCTCACCGCTGATCACCAACACCTTAGTCGAATCCTCCGGCTGTTTCGTCGGGTACAGTAACTCGTAGTGCTGGTCCAACAACGACTGGTCCCCGGGCCGAATCTTCTCCCCGGGACGGCCATCCATCCGGTCTCCGGCACGGTCCCCTTCCCTGGTTCGGCCACCCTCCCCCAGTAAGCCTTCCAGAAGTTCCGCCTGGTTTCTGCCCTCGGTCCGCCCCCCCTCGGCCCGGCCTCCCGGCAGGAGGTGCGCAGTGCTGTAGTAAAGGGAGAGTTCTTTGATGGAGGCAATGTCTTCCAGTACACTGGCGGGGTCGACTGCGCACTTGGTGAGCCATTGGCGATACTCGTATGCTGACCAGAAGCGGTCGCCGTCGTCGTCGATGTAGAGGAAGACGGCTTCCACTTTGTCCATGAAGGCCAGGTCCTGTGCAGGTGGGTAAAGTTCAGCACAGAGCACAGCGAGATCAAAATAAAGCCTCTGGCTACGACGGTGATCTTTCCACTGAGCGAGGTGTGAGCCCACACTCGTTTTAGCCAAAGCACCATCTGCTAGCAAGACGATCTCATGCTGTGCCAAAAGTGCCGAGAGCCTTCGACTGAGTAGCCGTGCTACAGCACAGCCCAGTAGATACTTACCACACTCGAACTCTGACTCCAACCCTTGTACTGAACCTGTGCCATCCACGCAGTACTTATGCCCTGCCCTTGCCTGCACCACCTCTACTACCCATCGCCGTCCGTGCAAAGCAGCCACGTCCAACACTGGCACACGTCCCGACTCCACCGAGGCCAATCGTTGCGCGGCGAAACCGCCAGTTCGTAACGGACTTGCGGCAGAAACCAACCTTAACGACTCCACCCCGGGCAGTCCCCCCCGTGCCATCACCCCCGGTGTAAGGTTGCCCGGCATTCCGGAACCCAAGCCGCGGACCAAAGGCACGAGGCTGCAGGCCTGTGAGGCCCGACGCGAGGGCTGATCGGAAGGCCGGCGGACGCCAGGTGGGGACCAGAGTGAAAGTGTAGATGTGTGCGAAAGCGATTCGGAAGTCGAGTGAAAGGCGCTACTGAAGTAGTGTGTGTCCTTTCGCACATCTTTGAGTGCGGTCGTTTCGAAGACGATGGAGGTGCGGCGGTTGGATTTGAGGGAGCGGTAGGAGCGGGTGCCGGTGCAAGACTCGGAGGAGTCGCTGTCTGTGTCGCGCTCTTTGCCGTCGTGTTTGCTCAATTTCTTGAGTGAGTAGCGCACGTGTCTAGTCAGCTCATCCATGGCGGTGCTCGCGGGAATGAGTGCGGACGCGGGGATCCGGAACTGTTCGCGCCATTTGCTGAGGCAGATGCCCAGCAGACAGGACGCATGTTCGCTGACGAATCCTAAAATCCACTTCCGCGCCTCTCGGTAGCGTTGCCGTCGCACGTGTACGAGATACACAATCGTGCCCAAACAAGCCGCTATCGGAATGAAGCGGTCAGTGGTGATCAGACCAGCAACCATGAGCCAGCCGAGAGAAGAGATTAGCATACAGCCAGCGATCGCGTAGCCAAGAAATAGAAGAGGGCGCACGACACCATCGAGAGGATCGTAAGTCAACTGTAGGGCGTTCTGTACGTACGGACTGAGCACACTGCATACTGCAATGAGCAGCAGACATACTAAATTCGGAATCAACGCGTGCGTGAAGGTCCGGCTCGTCAGAAACACAGACTTGTCCGAGGCGAGGAAAATATCAACTATTACCTCTGAATCGATATCGCGGGAGCGATCCCTATACACCTGCCGCGCAATGAAGTCATGGATCAGAAGCAAGCCCATTACAGACACGCTTGGGGTGATATTCAGAATGATGCGACTGAAGCTAGCAAAGACGTAAATTATGGTTGGAATGAACTCGAACAAGTAGAATTTGGGACTCATGAAACGACCAGGGAGCCCGACGAAGACGTACAGGAGCTCTCCCAACCAACCGGTATTCAACAAAAACCGACTCGGATCATTGTTGTCCATGAAGTCAATTCCCGCTCCCGTAGCCGCTCCCGCGGCCCCCGTTGCGCCGACGCGACGGCCTTCTTTGTTCCAGTTAGTGAGCATGGCACTTGCGTTCTTGCTAGAGCCGAATCCGCCGACCATGTTGGATTCGTACAATTCAGAAGGCACAAGGTTATAGAGAGCGTTGATCACGTCTGAAGAACGGGCCCAGTAATGACTGTCCTGCTCCAATACAATATCCGGTAGAATGGTCAGGACCAGAGACTCCGTCTTTAGAACATCCAAACGACGTTCAGATCCAGAGGTATACTGGTTATATACGAACTCCTGTATACTACTACCGCTTGCATGCTCCTCTATATCGACCCTCGCTCCTGACCCGGGCAACAATTGAGTATGCGTCATAGTTGCCAGGATACCGGTAGTCTGTACCAATAGCTGTCCGGGAGTAAATTTATGGCGGCCGCCTGTCTCGAAAGGAAGAGTTTCTCTAAGATTGGGAATACACCGTACTTCACGCTTCTCACAGCGTAGACCGTATCCCTCCAACACCAGCCTGTTCACAGACTGCATTTCCAGTTTGTGAATGTGGCAGAAAGAGGCATAAGCGAACTCGAAGCGTGAAAGTGTCATAGTTTTAGTAATAAAGAAGAAGTGCGATTGAGCGATAAGTTGAGTCGGTTCCGCGACAGGTCGGGCCACAATGGCCACCTTTTGCCAAGATTGGTTGGGTCGAAATTGAGCCTGAGCAAGCCAATTGAGTCGCTGAGCACCGGCCTCAATGGCTCGGACAAATTCTTGGACTAAATTGGTTTCCGCATCCAGAATTGCAAATTCCAGTAAGCAATCCTTAGCACAATTGGGTCCTAACTTCCATGTGACCGTCACTTGACAACCAGAGTGGGCAACGTACCCACATAAGCCAGGATCAAATGTTATAGCATGACCCTCAGCGTTTACATTTTGGGAGAACACGACCGACTTAAGAACCGAAGGATTCATTAAACAGCTCATTGCTCCCCAGGTGGATCTGCTGGAGAATGTGTGCAAAGGAATATCAATACCTACATCATTGAAATTACCAGGTGCCTGTAAATTGAGACTAGTTGGCTAATGAACGTCTTTCGTTCTATACGTGCAGTTGCAATCCATTCTTGAGTATAACAATCTGCCACTCCGACCAAAAGTTCTTCTGATTCAAGCTCAAAATTAACATGTGCGCGGGATCGATATCTTGTAGAAAATCGATTCTGCCAACTTGCACTGCCCATACCACTGGCATGCGATCGTATAGGAGTACCGCATTGGCTGGTGCTACGGTGGCTGGTGCTACGGTGGCTAGAACGTTTGGATCTGAAACCTCCAAAATCGGATCTGAAAAATCCCGATTTGAATGTAGGCTGACGATTATATTCGGTCAGATTATCTACGCTAAGATAATCATCCAGATCCACTAAAGTATCAGTCGTGACACCTCTAGGTGTTAGGTCTGTAGCGAATATAATAACTTTGTATTTATGCGCTCTCACTCCGAAAGGGAACAACTTAATATTATGGAACTGTATTGTAAGTTGTAAGGGCTTAGAGCTGGTGCAACATTTATTTATGAAATAAGGTAGAGATCTAACAGATGACCTAGATAGCAAGCTGAATAAACCTAATATTGAATCAGAAGCAGATATCTGTCGATAAAGCACAACCGGTTCACTCCAATCAGAAATTTGGGTCACATATCTATTAGCTTTCATTAATCGCACACGGTATACATGATCCATTCGTAAACTGTAATTCCCTCGTCGTCTTCCCATACAGACAGCTGGTATTATCAATTCACGCCGATCCCCGGCGACGGTCTCTGTAACATGCACTTCTTTCGCAGGCATCCAAAACGCTATTTCGTCCGGTCGTAGCTTCGCATTTCGCAAGACCTGAGATTCTAAAAACTTATTGGATCGATCATTAGAAGCCATATTCTTATTAACCTTGCTATACGATAGATCTTTATTATTGCTCTTGCTACCTGACACTATCGCTGACATCAGATTGCCGTTAGTTAAGCTTGGCAGACTGCTTGGCAGACTGCTTGGCAGACTGCTGAGTAACTGCGATGTGTCAGCAGACTCCTTATGTGCAGACTCCTTATGTGCAATTTCCCTATGTGCAGACTCCTCATGTGCTCGTCGTTGTTCTTCAAGCATGGCATTCATTGTTACATCACGAATCACTACGCAGATCCGCTCGAAGTCGTGTTCGCTCGTCTCATTCCAACGACACAATAACCCCTGCCGTCGCGGGTCACTGGAGTAATAACGCGTAACAGTCACTCTCCACGGACTACTAGGTACTGAACTAGCACCAGCACCTACGCCAGGACCAAAGGCGTGGCCAGTACTTCCGCCAGGACCAGAGGCGTGGCCAGCAGTAATCGGGCTGCCGAGGGCGATTGAGTGGTCCAGTCGGTAGCTGTTGGAGATAACGATGAAGTTGTCTTTGTAGTAGCCATTGTAGACGTGTTCGACGGTACACAGGTGGGTCCATCGGAGGAAGTAAACGGCCAGCCCCCCGGAGAGAAGTAGGTTGATGAACAGGCTCACAGTGAGGGAGAAACTGTCTCGATCTTCCATGGCAGGTCGGGCAACAACAGTATCTATGACAAGTGTATAAATTGTACGTATGTATTGATTATTGATATTAAGGGCTTCAAGAATGAAGCGGCTGCCAACCTTGGCTTCTTTGAAGGAACGTGCCATAAGACGGAATTGATCCTTCATGAGATCGTCGATGCAATTTTGGAGTCCGTAGTAGGCGCGAGTAGGAATAACAGCGTGTGTGTCGGCGTCGATTACGGGACAAAAAAGCCCCTGATGATGAAGGCTAACGAACTCAATTTTGGGGTCCAGAATACCACCGGTAAGAAGGACAAGGTGGAGCAGTTTGCTTTGGAGTGCGACGCCGCTAATAATGTTCCATCGGATCTGTGGACGAGGTGAGAAACGGTCGATTTTATTGTCGACAAGTTGGTGTGTGTTGGGACCCAAGACTTCGATCCAAAGAATGTACGAGTCATATTTATTATCCTTGAGCCAAAGATTCGCGTCCAACACTCGTGATTCAGAGCTTTCCGTCCAGCGTACGACGTCCTGCCCGCGTCCGTGCCAGTGGAAGAGTTCGTAGTCTTTGGCGTCGTCATCGCTCATGTCGTAACCGTTGAGCACGTACCAGTACACAGGTGTGTGCGAAAGCGTGAGTGTGCACTTGAGATGCACATCTGTATGCGCCAACACATGGTTGTCCGCGTCTGCGTCGTCGTCCTGGTCGTCTTGGTCCAGGAATCGCCGCAGCTGCGCCGCCTCCAAGCGTCCTCGGTTAACCGTGACTTTTTGGCGATTGCCCGACTCGTCGTCGAAATCCACACTGCCATCCGTATGGATACTCATCGCGTCCAGGTAGTCTTCCGGCACAATCATGGTTACTGTGCTATCCGTCCGGATCACGACTGGGTACGGTCCTCCGTTGATGTACAGTTTAGGCCCCTCCACCCAGCCGTTCCGCCAGAACGCCGACCAGTCACTCATGAACTCCGACTCTCCACGGCCGGTACCAGCGGCGCCTCCACGTCTAACTCCAGCATCCCCATTAGCCGGAACGGGTGCTATGGGTGTCCACTTGGGGCTGATGCCAATATCGATGAAAGTGCCGCCTTGGCCGACGAGATGATAGCTTCGAGCGCGGACTTTATTGAGGACGGCTTGAGCATTGTTTGCATCTAGGACAAATTCGTCTTGAACGGTGATGGCGCTGCGTGCGGCAATGAGTGCTGCTTCAGCGTTGATGTTGGTATAGATATGTAAGTTGCGGAATTCGTACCAGCTGGGGTGTGATGCGTGTATGACGCATGGTAGATAGAGTGAAGGTGAAGTTCGTCGTACGTCAACATATACTTGGTCTCCATTACGCACATAGCCCGGGTCATGTGGCCGTAAGAGAAGACGGGTCCAGCTGAAGTTTTCAAGAGTATGTGCCCACGTCTTGATGTTAATTACAAGTCCAGGTAGACTGTCATTGGTAACAAAAATTAAATTACAGTGCCGAATGTTAAATGTCGCCGAGACTGGAACCATATGCAAATATGAACTATTCACTGCCACTCTTGCCACAACAAAACTTACAAATGGTAACACTAATAATAACACCATTACAAACACTACCAGTTGCTTCCATGGTGGCTTTATCTTCGGTGCCGTCGTGCACACACCCGGCACACACTCTATCTCCACTGGCCTCTTCTGAGCTAAATACGCAGGCAATGTCTTACGACCTCCCGCAGGTACCACACCAGCAGATGTATCATGTACCAACTCCGGCGGCTGGCCTTCATCCAAACTGTACCTACCACTTTCACCAAAATGAACACGCTGTAAAGAATTCGCTGCGCTCGTCGGAATCTCAATTGATGATACAGCCACCAACTCGCTCTCACGAAACTCATCCTTACGGAACACCTCCTCACGCAATAAGTCGACATGCGACACGTCCCGCAATGGTGACGTACTCGACTCAACTACGCTCCCACTGTGACTCCGTAAACCACTCTGGCTTCGCAGAAGACTGCGGCTTCGTAAACCCCCCTGGATCTGGCTCTTGACGCCACTCTGACTCTTGACGCCACTCTGGCTCTTGACTCGGATAAGGGTGTCATACTGTATGTAACGATCTCTGTGGATAGAGCCGATGCTTGGGGGTCGTGACTTGAGCGCCGACCTGGCCGCCTTCTCGACCGGTTGCAGACCTCCTTCCGTGGCGGTTTGCTCGCAGATCCCGGCTACCGAGCCGCTGCATTGAGTCTCTATTAAAGACTCACGAGTAAACCCTATCGGGGTCGGCCTTTGGATCTTCTTCAACAATTCTCCCTTCCGGTGCACCCTCAGTGGCGGTTTGTTTTTCATCTGTAAAAACCATGCTCTCTATGCGCCCGTGTGAACGCAGTGGTACTTAACGGACTGCCCAAACTATTCCTGGACACGTAACAACTTCGCTCCGAGCGTGGCTCGACACTCCGAAGAGTTCTCAACATGTGCCTGCAAACACAGTTACGGCCGGCCCCAAAAATATTCATGGCTTACATGGCTTTGGCAGTCATCTCCTGCACTGCTTGCTCGTTCTCATACAGCACCTGTGCTCGAACAGGGGTTTGGTCGGTCTCGAGAAAGGCGATGCGACCCATAAAATAAAAAACTCTCCCTGCAAGTTCGCCGGTGTCGACTTGGATCCAATACCGACGCCTCAACACCGACCCAATAAAAAGGTCTCACAGCAACTCCATCCCGCTTAGTTGCTCGACTCGGTTGGTCAACTCGGTTCGTCAACTCGGTTCGTCAACTCAGTAAACCTGGCCAACCCAGCGGACAAGGCAGTTGCCGTTGCCGTGCAGGATTCCGCGATACCGTTACTGTTGATTTAACTGCTTTATCTGCAGACGCTTCGAGTGTAACCAAATATCCAAGGCGACCAAAGGATCCTAGTAAAGGAAAGGTTGTGGTAGGGTCGGGAGCAGGAA